GGTGGACATTGTTGAATGACAGATGGATGGTGATGAATGCGATGCCATCCACACCTCTTCTAAGGAAGGAAAGATCAATCTGTATGTCACAACGCCTCTGTTCTCCCTTTTCCAGACTTGATAAACTCTTCCCTCAAATAGTCCGAGGATGCTGCTCTCACTCGGTTCCCCGCGGTCGTTCGTCTTCACCTGCAGATATGTTTTGTGATTTGGCGGTTGTTCTTCTTGTTCCCTCTTTGGCACATCAGCGGAATTAGCATCATTCGTCGATGGGATCTGATCTGATTTCGGTGTCTTTGGTGGTTGAGTATGTCTTGTTATTGCTTGCGGTGGTTTCTGTGGTGGTTGTGACTGTTTCACTGTTGACTGTATCGGCTTCAAAGGAGGTTGTGTGCGTTTCGTCGCATGTTGTGCTGTGGTAACGGGCGGTTGGCTCCGTTTTGCTCCCCTTGTTTCTGGTTTCTTCGATGGCTCTTCTCTGTCGATGGGGGATCTTTCATCTGATCAGTTTGATCACCTGAAGACGGTGAAAGCACTCACGAGCCATTGTTGGACGCTGGAATCTGATGGGAGTATCTGCAATTGGCTCCAAATCGACAGGTCTGATTGGCGGCAAATGTGTGACAGAATTTCACACGCGTAGGATTGTTGCTATTGTTGGGTGTGGATGTCGCAGTCGGCGCATTCATCCTCCAAGAACTAGGGAAAAGAAAGGATTTAACCAAAATTCGAAATCTGGGGGGGAAAAAAGATACGACAGCGGAGAGATTCGAACTCTCGCACCCGAAGGTAACAGATTAGCAGTCTGCCGCCTTAACCACTCGGCCACGCTATCAGATGACATGTGGGTTTGTGGCTCGAATGCAAACATGTAATTTGTGATATTATTGTCTCACAAATAGTCGTTGAAGATGAGAGCGACCTCCTGATTTGTTGGATGAAGTTATTTATATCTGCCAAGTCAAAGCCTCCAAATCGTTGGCAGTGACGAACGGCTCCGTGATCGACTGGATCATCATCTGTCCACAGAAGGGGCACTCTGCAGCCACCAAGTTGTCGATCTCCTCTTTGATCTTCTCCATCTACATCTCTCCTTCAGTCCTTCCTCTCTTCTCTCCTTCACCTTTGAGTACATGGCAGAATTCTCTCTGTCCTCCCTGTTTTCTGTCGGGTTGTAGTCCGTCACCTCCTTGAACTCGTCTCGTTGTAGATGGCCCAATTCTTCCGTCAGCTTCGTCAGTCTCTTTATATCTACACTTCCGATTCCCTTCATCATCTGTCTCCATCATCAACACACGATCACGTGATGATGACATCACGATCACATCACCTTTGTCTTCAGACAATCTTCGTGGAAAGCGTGAGCGCAGGGAAAGAGATAAAACTCTCTGGCCAGTGCAGGTGTCTTGCACAGGCTGCAGTTCTCGCTGACACCGATGAATCCGTACCTGTACGAGGTCAATGACATTCATCGTGGAGGCTGATGTAGATAGTGATGAATCTGATATAGATAGTGATGAATCTGATATAGATAGTGATGAATCTGATATAGATAGTGATGAAT